TCAGGCTAGCCGTACTTAATATTGATGGCTGAATTGTAAATGAAATTTTTAGTTTGCAATGCCTTCAGACAAAACCAAAAGGTGCCTTACTGACTTGCATGTATTTAAACCTGAATAATTACTAGATCTAGATCTAATGAGACCTGTGTACTTAACAGGCTTGAGTCGATAGGGCCAAACCCAGATCTAAGTAAGTGTACGGCAAGACGCTCAGTTTAGCCGTACTTAAATACGGCTAGCCACTTCGATTTAACTACTTTTCGAATCGAGCCAAACTAAGCGGGTCACCATTTTGTTTTGCCCGGAAGATCTCGCGCTACTCCCCTCTCTCTCTCTCTTTCTCCACTGTGCCCACAGACAAAATTGTATGCTTAAAATTACGGTTAAAACAGTAGTAATTTAAGTAATGGAACATTTGTTCCCGGCACAGAATTCTACAATTTTTCTGTTATCCCAGAGTAGAATTCTGTGGTTCAGGGTGAACGCAAAATTGGTTGGCCCTAGATCTAGGCTATAACGGTGAACGAACACCGGGTGAGAATAGCCAAAAGACTCGCCTGCGCTATTCTCACCCGGGGGTGGCCTTGAATTGATTGTTATTGTTCTACACAGACTGCTGGATAATAAAAACAACACCCCCATCATCAAAGTATAACAAATACAAATGCACTGCAGCTTCAAGATTACAGAAAAAAAATTACCGTATAAGAGGTGGAGCCCTCCTTCACTTCTTCGGTATCTGGAATAGAAAAGTGCATTTTTGCACAGTTTATCAGACTTGCACCCTAACAAACATAATATTATTCTCGAGGATTACGAGGAACACTCCCCTTCGGCCATTTTGTAGTCACGTGATTTAGTTTGTGATTCGTCGCATCCGTGTATAGAAAGTTTCACAATATTATTATAAGTCTCAACAACTTTTTTTCGAAAAAAAATTATATAATTGTAATTTAGTCAATCATTATTCGCTAAAATTTTCTTGCAGGTTGGATTTTGTTCAGATTTTTGGGTTTTGTTTTTTTTACTCATCCCATGTACACATTTTACCTGCTTTTTTTTCCCAAGCAACCAAGTATTTTGCATGCTGAACACGAATATATATTTAATTTTATTATAGCCTTTATTTTTGCCGCAAATAAAATTATTATGGTTATTGAAATATTGATGTTTGAAAACAGAACTATATTTTTTAAATAACATTCGGACCAAAGTAGATTCTCTACTACACGATCTTTGGTAAGACCAATGGTGTAGTAACATTTGACTTGTTTTTAACAATTATATTATGGGGGGTTTCCCCCCTGACCAAAAAAAGAATCGGGGGTGGGGGGGGGGTGTTCAGAGGGGCATGCACCCCCCTCCCCTTGCATTTCACCATGATTTATTGTTTTGACAATTAGGATTGATATTTACTTGAAAACAATTGACTTATAAGAGTTTTAGTGGCCATGCGTGTGTTCTGCAGCATAGATTATGGCAGTTTAGCCTTCAAATCAGTGCATTTTTGTGTGGGTGCAACAAAAGTAAAAATTTACCAAATTGTAGGCCTGTTCCAAATGTGGAAACGAATTGGCTGTAAGATCACGACAGTGATCAAATAACAATTGAAATAAGTTTTATGAGCGCATTGCCAAAATCCTACCCTTTGTCACTAACCTCTAGTCAAACCTCTTACCCAAGACAACCAACCCTTCTCTCCTATACACAACCTACTATCCCTTGTGCGATTAATAATTTCAGTGTTGGGGTGGTTTTTGAGTATATTATTTAGAAACAATATCTCCATTTGAGGAACGTTTAAATCCCTTCCGCCTGGGCTGACTTTGACAGACGGGGTCGATGCACCCCCCCCTAGGTCATCTAAATAATATTGATGGAGGCGTAAAACACTCCCAATTACATGTTTTTACGGAGCAGCCCAGCCTTAGCCTACTGTAACTGGCTCGTTACAAAGAGAGGGGAAACGCCCTCTGAATAGATTGGGGATAAAGCTTGTAACGATCTGATTGAACCGCCGACAGCCACAAACTATTATGATAATGTTATTACAACTACACTACGATGTACGGTCTATATATGAGTGTAGAAAGGAGGCTAGAGGGAGTAATTGAGTGAGCGTCTCTGTGTGTGTGTGG